GGCGCTCACAGCCCACAATTGGGCCACGGCCCATAGGTTAAGAATCTCTGATGTAGTCCATCTGATCTGTTAATATCTGAAAGTTTCAATAAAATCCAGCCAGTCGCTCATGAGCTATTTTGCTAACAGACAAAAAAGGGATGAGTTCAAAATTTAATATTTATGGTCACTTTGATTATGTGCCATCTCATCCAATATTAAGGGAGGTCAGACTCAAGAGGGATGGGTAATCCTGGTCCTGGGGGGCCACTATCATGTTTGTTAGAGGTTTCTCAGCTCCAGCACACCTGGTTTGAATGACTGGGTGACTAACAGGTTTCTGCAGAACCTGATGAGATCAACCAACCACTGAATCAGGTGTGTTGGAGTGGAGAAACAGGTAAAAACCTGCAGGATAGAGGCCCTGGAGGACCAGGATTGCCCACCCTTGCTCAGACTCTCAACCATTATTTATAGAACAAAATCTGGCAAATTCACCAAAGCGTAGCTCTTTTATTTTTTTTTTTATTTATTTATTTTTTGTGGGGGTTTTCTAAGTTCACCTCATTGTTGTGTCCAGCTTGAATTGAGCCAGCTCCAAACGTTAACGAGTTGCAGACGTACATCCACTGATTACTTCCTGAAAGTTTCATTTTAACATCCACCCAGTGGTTCACGAGACATTTTGCTAACAGACAACTAGAACTGACATTTCTCAAAAACGAATGCAAATTTTCTCCTTCTGCAGCCAAAATTTAAAATATGAGGACTTTGYTAAAGCAATGCATGCAGGAAAGATCCAGATTAACAGAAGAGAATTTAAAGAAACCTTTTTTTTCTAATCAATGCCTGGAAAAATGGTCTTAGGAAGGGGGTCAAAACTATTGCATGAGATGCAGTTATAAAAAAACACTTTTTGTGAGGCAGAGACAAGTGATGCAGTTTAACTTCTGGGTCAATTACAAGCTTTAAGGGCCAAATCAGTCATTATTTTTCTGCTGATGCTGGTCTGAGGCCTGCTCAGCCCAAAGCCAACAACCACAGTGGGCGTGTGAAACCCTGCCTGCAAAGCTTTTCTCAGCTCCTCTGGAGGATTTCTGCGTGCAGGCTTCAGATTCCAAACACCGGTTGCAGTGAAATAAAAATATCCAACAGCTTTAAAGCTTTAAAAGCCAGGAAGGGGGGGGGAAAACAGACCTGCAGGAAGGTTTTAATCTGAGAGGGTGAAACAGTTTAAAAATAAATCTTTACACCACATTTCCTTTAGTTTTTAGGATATTTCACGTGACATTTTTAACTTTGTAAAACGAGCATATGGCTCCCACAGATAAGCACGCAGTCCTGCAGGAAGGTGTGGTCCTTGAGAGGAAGCGCAAAGTTCAGCTGTCAAAACTATAAACGACACCAGGCTGACCATAACAAAAGTTTAATGTGACATTTAAAAACTGGTGCACTAAATGGTTTGATAAGATTTTTTTTCCCCTTGCTATAAAAAACCCAGAAGTTGTGCGAGGATATGTTGTTGTTTTTAATAGTATACAACGCTGCTATAAAAAGTCTTTGAAGTTTTTTAGAGAGGAAATTTTAGAATAAAGTAGCTTTTTAAGAAGTGCGTTAATGAAGAAGTTTCATGTTCAACGTACCTTGTTACGCGTTTCCTTAAAGTGCAGATGTTGACAAGCTCGAGACTCGACGTTTTCTGTTTCTTTCCATGTTTCGTCCGGGTTCAGCCCTCCTTTATTAAAAAAAAAAACGCCCTGCTGCAGTCCCTGCCCTCGGTGAGTCCCCTCCAGACTGCGCATGCGTATTACCAGCTGGCCGCTTGACAGGCTKGTATGGAATCATAAGAGTGTCACAAAATATATTGGTGAAAAAAATATTTAACATTAGTATTAAATAAATAGGCAAGATTAATTGATGTTACAGTAAATTTGAAAAAATAAAGAAAAAAATTCTATAAAC